CAATCAGAATTAACTGTCAGATACTGCAATTTAATAACATGATAATGTTCAGTAGAATGTAGTTAACGACATAATCGCTAACTTAAGGGGTATTAATGAGGTATTTAGGAATATGTGAAGCATGATACTATAACAACAAGATATGCTCACTTGCTGTTCTAATTTTAATTGGCTTTGCGCATGTCGTCATAGCGAGACAAAGCCAGGGGACATGTATGTATCATATTTTAACGATGCATCATATGGCAACGTTGTTCCATTACTGTAATGAACAACTTCAAAACTTAAACTGTTAAAGGTAAGTATACCTCGATGCCATATCTTGCACTAAGAAGTCATAACTAGTTACATTCTGTGAAAACGTGTTTTGAAAATTAATAAGTAATTTGTAAAATTAATTAAAGAAATATATGAATCTACGATTTGATTGTGTGTATTACAAACAAAATAAATATTGCTACAAAACATAAATTAAATATAAAAGGCCGGCAAAATGTAAAGAATTTGACCATAAAGGAAAAGCGGGTCAAACTTGAGACTTTATGAATATCATTTAGACATCTATTTTAAAATCTTTGTGATTTTTCTTTTGCGGTATTGTAATTATCTTTAATATTTTAATTTAGAATTCTTATTTTAAAATACATTTTACATATAAAAAAAAAGTAATTTTACATCTTCGCTAACATTTACATATTTTGCAGCTTCTATTAAGTTTTTTAAATAATTTTTTGTTATTTTTAATGTGTCGCCATTATAACAACGAAAAATATGTTCCAGTACAATACATACATCCAAAGTAACTTTTTTGAAAGACCTATCAAAAATAAAGTATTACTTCAAGCTCTATTAAAATGGGCATTAGTATATATTATTATCTATAGAAACATTTAATATTGTCCATAGAAACATTTGCTCTGCTGTTATTAATATTAATATATTAACAATCGTAAAATAGTTTCGAAACACAATTCAGATTTCTGCTTTTATCTGTGCTTTCTAAAAATTGCAAAGCAAAACAGACGTTGATAAAGGTGTTAAAAGAGACGTGGGGAATCTAAAATTTGCATTCCACGACACATCTTTTCAACTAAGCAGAAATCCTTAGCGAATTGGTTTCTTGTACTCGTACAGAGTAAATCCGAAAAAAGTGAAAAAGACAGCAAATATTTGATTTCACGCAAACAGCGCCTTTGTATCTGTTGATACGTATTTCGACCTAATAGGTCTCATCAGAACAGTTATTCAAAGGTGTTCTCAACGTGAAAGATCAATATTTCCTGTCTTTTAAGAAGCAACAATAACATGGCTTCGAATACGGACGCACTAGCGACATCTAATTTAACAATCGTAAAATAGTTTCGAAACACAATTCAGATTTCTGCTTTTATCTGTGCTTTCTAAAAATTGCAAAGCAAAACAGACGTTGATAAAGGTGTTAAAAGAGACGTGGGGAATCTAAAATTTGCATTCCACGACACATCTTTTCAACTAAGCAGAAATCCTTAGCGAATTGGTTTCTTGTACTCGTACAGAGTAAATCCGAAAAAAGTGAAAAAGACAGCAAATATTTGATTTCACGCAAACAGCGCCTTTGTATCTGTTGATACGTATTTCGACCTAATAGGTCTCATCAGAACAGTTATTCAAAGGTGTTCTCAACGTGAAAGATCAATATTTCCTGTCTTTTAAGAAGCAACAATAACATGGCTTCGAATACGGACGCACTAGCGACATCTAATTTAAAAATCGTAAAATAGTTTCGAAACACAATTCAGATTTCTGCTTTTATCTGTGCTTTCTAAAAATTGCAAAGCAAAACAGACGTTGATAAAGGTGTTAAAAGAGACGTGGGGAATCTAAAATTTGCATTCCACGACACATCTTTTCAACTAAGCAGAAATCCTTAGCGAATTGGTTTCTTGTACTCGTACAGAGTAAATCCGAAAAAAGTGAAAAAGACAGCAAATATTTGATTTCACGCAAACAGCGCCTTTGTATCTGTTGATACGTATTTCGACCTAATAGGTCTCATCAGAACAGTTATTCAAAGGTGTTCTCAACGTGAAAGATCAATATTTCCTGTCTTTTAAGAAGCAACAATAACATGGCTTCGAATACGGACGCACTAGCGACATCTAATTTAACAATCGTAAAATAGTTTCGAAACACAATTCAGATTTCTGCTTTTATCTGTGCTTTCTAAAAATTGCAAAGCAAAACAGACGTTGATAAAGGTGTTAAAAGAGACGTGGGGAATCTAAAATTTGCATTCCACGACACATCTTTTCAACTAAGCAGAAATCCTTAGCGAATTGGTTACTTGTACTCGTACAGAGTAAATCCGAAAAAAGTGAAAAAGACAGCAAATATTTGATTTCACGCAAACAGCGCCTTTGTATCTATTGATACGTATTTCGACCTAATAGGTCTCATCAGAACAGTTATTCAAAGGTGTTCTCAACGTGAAAGATCAATATTTCCTGTCTTTTAAGAAGCAACAATAACATGGCTTCGAATACGGACGCACTAGCGACATCTAATTTAACAATCGTAAAATAGTTTCGAAACACAATTCAGATTTCTGCTTTTATCTGTGCTTTCTAAAAATTGCAAAGCAAAACAGACGTTGATAACAGACTATTTTACGATTGTTAAATTAGATGTCGCTAGTGCGTCCGTATTCGAAGCCATGTTATTGTTGCTTCTTAAAAGAGAGGAAATATTGATCTTTCACGTTGAGAACACCTTTGAATAACTGTTCTGATGAGACCTATTAGGTCGAAATACGTATCAACAGATACAAAGGCGCTGTTTGCGGGAAATCAAATATTTGCTGTCTTTTTCACTTTTTTCGGATTTACTCTGTACGAGTACAAGAAACCAATTCGCTAAGGATTTCTGCTTAGTTGAAAAGATGTGTCGTGGAATGCAAATTTTAGATTCCCCACGTCTCTTTTAACACCTTTATCAACGTCTGTTTTGCTTTGCAATTTTTAGAAAGCACAGATAAAAGCAGAAATCTGAATTGTGTTTCGAAACTATTTTACGATTGTTAAATTAGATGTCGCTAGTGCGTCCGTATTCGAAGCCATGTTATTGTTGCTTCTTAAAAGACAGGAAATATTGATCTTTCACGTTGAGAACACCTTTGAATAACTGTTCTGATGAGACCTATTAGGTCGAAATACGTATCAACAGATACAAAGGCGCTGTTTGCGTGAAATCAAATATTTGCTGTCTTTTTCACTTTTTTCGGATTTACTCTGTACGAGTACAAGAAACCAATTCGCTAAGGATTTCTGCTTAGTTGAAAAGATGTGTCGTGGAATGCAAATTTTAGATTCCCCACGTCTCTTTTAACACCTTTATCAACGTCTGTTTTGCTTTGCAATTTTTAGAAAGCACAGATAAAAGCAGAAATCTGAATTGTGTTTCGAAACTATTTTACGATTGTTAAATTAGATGTCGCTAGTGCGTCCGTATTCGAAGCCATGTTATTGTTGCTTCTTAAAAGACAGGAAATATTGATCTTTCACGTTGAGAACACCTTTGAATAACTGTTCTGATGAGACCTATTAGGTCGAAATACGTATCAACAGATACAAAGGCGCTGTTTGCGTGAAATCAAATATTTGCTGTCTTTTTCACTTTTTTCGGATTTACTCTGTACGAGTACAAGAAACCAATTCGCTAAGGATTTCTGCTTAGTTGAAAAGATGTGTCGTGGAATGCAAATTTTAGATTCCCCACGTCTCTTTTAACACCTTTATCAACGTCTGTTTTGCTTTGCAATTTTTAGAAAGCACAGATAAAAGCAGAAATCTGAATTGTGTTTCGAAACTATTTTACGATTGTTAAATTAGATGTCGCTAGTGCGTCCGTATTCGAAGCCATGTTATTGTTGCTTCTTAAAAGACAGGAAATATTGATCTTTCACGTTGAGAACACCTTTGAATAACTGTTCTGATGAGACCTATTAGGTCGAAATACGTATCAACAGATACAAAGGCGCTGTTTACGTGAAATCAAATATTTGCTGTCTTTTTCACATTAATATATTAATTCTCTGCTGTTATTAATATTAATTATTTTTCTTTATATAACTAGAATTGCATCAAATATAAAATTTAAATTTAATTTTAAAGTTTACCTTGCTGTCATTAATTTTGACAATTTGGCATTTTGGAAAGTTGTCTTGGGCTTGCGTCACAAGAACATGCGCGTTGACTTATCCTGTTTTGTTATAGCATCATGTATCTGAAGTAATCCAGCCATATTTTTCTTCTCTTTCCTTTGAATCTGCATCCGTTCTAAGCGGAGAGTTTTCATTTCTTTTTCGCCTTGTTTTACATCCAAGAAATTCGAAACATAACGTTCATCACATGGACTGGAAGAATCGAGATACGATGTTGAGGTATCTCATTCCAACATTGGAAAGAAAAAAACAGAAATGTGAACAATCGAATAAAAATAACTAAAGTGTATTTCTGCTGGCCCCAAATGTATATGATGATTGACATTGATTTGTAGTCTTGGTTCGTGTAATCATAGCTCCATACTATAAATAATTATTTACAACAATTCTACCCCGTTTGTTTTAAGTCTTATTAAATATATTTCCTTACTGACTAAAATTGTTTGTATCTTTCCTATTCTACAAATTTTGAAAGACTTACATAGTACAAGTACTAGAGTACAGTACCTGATGAGAGGACAAAAGTACACATTCCGACAAAATATAATGCAAGGAAAAATCCAAGGACGCAGAAATTTAGGTCGTAGAAGAATGTCCTGGATGAGAAATTTAAGAGAGTGGTTTAGCTGTACCACTAACGAATTATTCAAAAGTAGTAAAGCAGTAAATAAAATTAGAATCGCCATAATGATATCTAATCTCCGATAAGAGAGGCACTCAAAGAAGAAGAATAGAGTACAAAAGTCACACTGAAGACATTAATTCTGCTTCCTTTTAATAACTTACTTTTTTTCTGTTTTAGGTACTGGTTTTGGTTCAAACTGTTCTTTTGCTTTGTTATTCCCTCGTCTATTCCTCCACTGCTATGGGGAGAAAGTTGGTACCACAGTATATGTGCAATATGTTTTGTAAGATATGTAATTTCTTTAAATTCTACATGGGCAGTCAACAGTTTTGCCCATTTCTTTGGGAACAAACCTTACGACAAGTAAGTATTTAGTGAACACTAAAAGATATTACTCTTAGAATAAAACCAATTGCATAATTTCAAATCTTTTGAAGTAGTTTGAAAGAAAAATGTTAACATTATCTTTAACAAAATTACATTTGTGGCTTTTTAAGTGTTTTAAACAAAAAAATATAATATAATAATATGACATATATTTTTGTCAATGCCTTTAATTTGTTGTAAAATATTTAACGACAATATTCTGAAAAATCTCAATATTTACATGTATGTACGTTTTAATACAAACAAATATTTGCCAACAAGAATTATAAATATATGTTCAATAAGTTTATTTAGTTATAGTATGTTTACTTATTGAGAAAGGTCACTTGTGCAAACTATTATCAATATTAAAGTAAATATTAGTTATGCAGAATGAAATAGAGGCAAAATAGTTAACACCTTTAGTGCCAAGACTATTGACCGATAGCTATATCTCTGGCCTTGCCGTTATCTGGGATTTTTCCGCTTAATAATCCTTTTTAGTGGCAATCAACCTTTTTTGCATATGCTTTTATATTTTTTGGATTATTTTGGTATTGTATCTAATAATTTCGATTTTACACTTTCTTGGATATTTTCCATATCGCGAGGAAATCAATTTTCCACGGCAAGAATAATCGGTATGAAACTTTTTGCATTCGATTCGGAGAAGTGTCAGGAAAGTTTGAACAAAATTCATAGTGGTAAAATAAAAATTTTATTTTGCACATAAGAAAGATGCATTTCCAAAGTTCATTAAGAATGAAAAATTTTCAACTAAGAAAATATCGATAGAAATGAGTTTCAGTTTGTTAGTGTAAAACTCAAAACAAGACGAAACGCAACGGAATAAAGAAGAAGAGAAAGATAACTATAGTATAAACATAGAAGATAAACGAGACATTAGGGAAGAACAGCTGCTGGACAGCTTTGAAAAAATAATTAGGAAAGAGGAGGAAAGGAATAATTTCGAATTGGAGCTTTTGGAGCTATAAAACAACAAGCCGAAGATGAATAGATTCACACACATCGTTAGATAGTCGACGCTGGTAGGGAAAGAACTTTTGGAAATTATTGAGGGAGAAGAGGAGGACAAGACTCTAACGACAAGGAAGAAAAACAGAGGACGGACAGAACGGTCTTATTAGATAAAGAGGATAGATACGAAGACAAAGAAATAAAAAAGAGAAAGAGAGATAATCCTGAGATTAAAACACAACAAAAAAAGAAAAGAAAAGAGGACAGTATGAAATATAAAGAGGAAACCCCAGATGAAGGAATAAACAGGAAGCTCACAGAGCTGCTAACTATCTTAGAAACAAACGGGGGAAATAGAAATACAAATTAAAAAACTAGTAGGCGACATCAAGTCTCTAAACAACAAGACCAGAGACTTAAACAAAATGGGGGAGAATAAATGCGAACAATGTAAAACAAAACTAGAGCACGAAAAACATAAACAAAAATGCAGAGGATAAAAAACATAATAAACAAAGGAGGAAATAAGGATACTTTTAAGAGTATGTTCAAAGAAAAGTTAGAAGAAAAAGTATACCAATAAACAAAATGGAAACAAGCAGGTCTACAGGAAACTGTTAAAAAGACCGACTGCTTAATAATACCAAAAAAAAGGAGACAACGCAGGGGAGTTGAACATGTTATAAAAAAGTCAGGGAAGAACTGACGGAAATAATGGAGGGATGTGAAGAGGGAGAGGTTGAATTTATTGAAAATTAAATAAGAACCTCCAAAGTAGAAAAAAAAATGGTATACGGTTGTCACCAAATTGGGAGAATATAACGGAGGGGATGGCGTGGAAGAATATAATCTGACAGACACGATTATAAAAATTGTCAGACAAGGGGACAAACTTGACGGCATAACCATGACCGTGAGGAGAAAAGAAAACCTCTTCACGGTCTCCGACTTTGACCCATCAATAAATGAAAATATCCTAAAGAGAGCCATTCAAAAATGGACGGGCATTCCCGAAAACGACGTAGAGGTTAGATTCCTCAGAGAAAATAAATGGGGCCAATAGGTGGCAACAATGGCAGTGAGATCAGCCAGAGCCGAACAAATGCGAAGACACCGATCAATAAAAATAGGGTGGGTAGGGTGCCCAATTATGGAACGATACACCCCAACACGTTGTTTTTAATGCTTAGAATTCGGACACAATACGTTCGAATGTAAGGGTATAGATAAGGCAACATTATGCTACAATTGTTTAAAAGATGGGCATAGAGTGGAAAGTTGTCCCAACCACGCATACTGCATGATGTGTAAAGAGGAAGTCCATAGGATGGACAGGATGGCCTGTACAGCCTACAGAGCCCTGGTATACGGAGGGGAGAAGAAATGGCAAGTGTAGTAAATATAGACATACAAATAATACTAGATAGATATCCATGTATAATTGATGGGCCCCTCTACAGCTCACCAAGGTGCTCAAACTCTTGCCCTTTATCTTCTAATCATCGTTTCTATGCATGTTGCATAAGTTTAAAGGTCTCATACGTCTTACTATTTATTTTTATTTATTCTCCATGATGTCTGTCCCAATTTTACCTAGGCGTTTTTATCTTTTATGTACATATATTTTATTCTTTTAACCTTTTTTATGCCGTCCATATTAATTATACAATCACCTTTTTATCTATACGTTTATTTATTTATTTATTTATTCATATCTATTTGTTTATTTTAGCTAATTTAGGATTATGTAAACAGAAACACCGATGTAAGGTCGAATCTCTAGGGAACTGAACCTAAAATGAACCTCAAATATCATCCTGGTATAAGGATATTGCAGGTGAACGTGGGCAGAACGTAAAGAGCTCACGATCGTGTCCATGCAAAAACCTGCATATTGGAAACAGACCTACTCATCGTCTCCGAACCGAACAAAAAAATTATAGCGGACGGTGGCTGGGTGCAAGATACTAATAAAAATGTGGCGGTGTTGTTCCGAAACAAAGATCTTGGAGTGCGTGGTATTGTCAGGGGTTGGAATCACATACTCATAAAAATAAGGGGTTTCAGCCTACTGGCATGCTATATATCTCCAAATATTAGGATTAGAGAATATAAGAATATAGTTGATGAAATAATGAACACTGCCATTAGGGAAAAACAAATTATGATCGCCGGGGACATAAATGCTAAATCTCTACAATGGGCTCTCCCGCAAACGACAAAAAAGGGGAGATATAGAATGAATGGATAGCCAAGGCTGGCCTCCAGGTACTCAATAATAATAAACCAACTTTAACAAGAGGGGCTCGCCAAACACACATTGACGTATTTTTTGCAAGTGAAAGACTATCCAGATGAATACAAAACTAGGACGTCCTCGACGATCAATGATTCACCTACCACCGATACATTACATATGAAATTAAGGTTAAGGGGCGGAACATAAGATGGCCGATAGGATATACTGGGAAAACATTTAATAAGCACGTGTACCTATCGGAGGTCAGAAAAATAAACGAAGATGAGGATGAGATTGAAGGCCTACGGAAGACTGTCTCAGAGTTCGCAGGAATATTACGAGAAGCCAGAGCGCCTACGAGCTCAAAGAAGTATACAAAATAGTAAAAAAGAAACTTAATAAAACAATAAACAAAGAAAAAAAAAAGAAAGGTGGCAGAACCTGATAAATGCTTTAGAAGACGAGATCTGGGGCGACGCATATAAGATAACAGTGAAGTCACTAAAGATAATTGCTCCATAGAATGTAGACGAGGACCAGCGGCGAGAAACGGCGAAGCTTCTCTTTCCTGTCAAAGAAGAACAAACCTTCTTGAAGGTCTCCCCTGCGGTGGCGGAGGAATTTACAGAAAAAGAAAATAAGCCGCTGGCCAAGAAATCAAGGTGGGAAAGCTTCCGGCCCCGATGGACTGCCACCGGAGGCACTGAAGATAGCAACAACAGAGAAACCTGGTTTGATCAGAAAAATATATAACGGTCTACTGCGAAAGCAAGAGTTTCCCAGGAACTAAAGGAAGCAAATCTGATTTTACTCCTAAAGCCTGGGAAACCCCCCGATTTAGCATCCTCTTGTAGGCCAATATGCCTTCTGGACTGTCTTGGCAAGTTCTATGAGAATCTTGTCAGGAAGAGGCTAGAGGGCGTGTTGGCAGATAAGAGAGCTCTATCCAACCAACAATATGGATTCAAAAAAGGTCGATCAGCAGTCGACGCCGCGATCTGGATAAGAAACGCGATGAAAACAAGTAAAAAGAAGTGGGTGGCTTGTTTTATTGGACATTAAAAACGCCTTCAATTCAGTGAACTGGGGTCTCATCGTAGACAAGATTGTCGAACTTGGGACCCCGGAATATGTGTCCAATATAATAAAGGACTACCTATCGCAAAGAAGCCTATGCAAATTGAAGAAAAATAAGATGAAAATGACTGCTGGAGTACCCCAAGGGTCAGTCCTGGGACCCACACTATGGAATATTTTATACAACAGGGTATTAGAAGTAAACAAAACACAGGGAGTAAGGGCTAGTGCATACGCAGATGACCTAGCCCCACTCATAGAAGATATGAATTGGGGTATTATAAACAAAGTAAATGAAGCAGTAGAAAAAACTGCGAGATGGATGGAGAGAAATGACCTAAACATTGCAGTAGAAAAGACAGAGGTAATCATCTTGAGGGAACCACGGGATAGGAAAAACATAAATTTTTGGTTCAGAGGCTCCGACCTAAGACCCCAGAAGACCGTAAAATACTTGGGAATCATACTAGACGACAAAATGGCATTTAAACACCACACACAAGAAGCATGTCGGAAGACGGAAGAGAGGACCTCGACCCTTAATAAGATAATGCCGAATATAGGAGGCCCCGGGTCACACAAAAGATCAGTTATACTACAGTCAATCATGTCCATCTTACTGTATGGGGCTCCAGTGTGGTATGAATCCTCAACAAAGCAACATATAAAGACATGCTTCTTAGGACACAGAGCCACTGATCAGGGTATGCAGCGCGTACAGGACCGTATCAACCATTGCCTAGTAGTGGCCGGTGCTGTCTTATACATATATAATAAAGAAGACCGAGAACGATCTGTGTCCCGAGTGTGGAGTGGTGGATGACGCGCCTCATGTGGTATTCGTATGCATTACATACAATGTGGGGCGAACCTTGCTGCAGCTGGGCCTGGGGTCACCTCTAGTTGAGCCACATGAACTAATGAATAAAACAATTGAAAACAAAAGAATCTTTGACTTGATCATTCGTGTTGTGACATAAACCATAAAACACAAGGAAGAGAAAGAGAGGAGACGGCAACAAAGGTGAACTGTTTATTTTAATGTGTCGTATCTGTCGGCGTCAGTGAGGTGAGCTACTATTCAGCTTCCACTACTGATGCCGAAATCTTAAATGAATTTACACAATTTACATACATGTTGTTTCGTTTTGTTTTGTCTTTACTTGTATCTAGTGTACGGTGTGTGTCTCCTTTTGAAGCAGCCTTTTACAAAGTAATGTGCTGGTGTAGATGGAGAAATGAAAGTAACACCCCCCCCCCCCCGGGTGGAATATGAATGTCTGGAGTTGCTTGTACCTGTTCTCTGACCTTTCTCGTTAAGTTCAAGATGGTTGAAATAGCGGCGCGGTCGCTCCTTCCTGCTTATCGCTCTGCACAAGGATGGTTACCTTACAGATCAAGTCCGTTGCAGACGTGAGTAGGGTGGGCCGACTGGGTAGCTATAACAATCACGGAGCGTAGACGGAGAGCGACAGATGGGAGTTATGAGCAAAGCTGACGGGTCAGATGGTAATACTCGCTAAGAGCGGTCCCAGGCTCGTCGGTTGGAGAAAGAGCGGGTGAGTTTAGTTGGTAGGCAGTCAACTACGGTAAAGGCGTAGTCGTCCGAATCCAACACACCTAAGACACCTTCCCAAAGGTTCTTGAAGATTCTACCTCCCAAAAAAAAAAGTTTGTTAGTCGGGGGTTTTTAAGGTCGCTGAACACGAATATGATAACGATAGTCATCCTTAAGCCACCTGATGCCCAGGGCGAGCCTCGTCTCCTGGAGTATGCTAATTTCACTCTAAAGTTGACAGTCATAACTTTTGGGTTTTCAAGGTCTTTGAACACAAATATAATAACGACGATGGTCCTCGAGCTAGCTGGTGCCCAGGGTAGACCTCGTTTTATTGCAGACGCTTTCTCAAGATCGACGAGAATCGTAGAAGAGTTTGTTGTTAGATAAAGGTATATTTTATTTGCTTTATATCAGTTGTTGATCTTACTGATCACCCCTTTCACCAAAACTCACCCCTTAAATGGTAGAACTTCGCAGTTTTTTCATTTTTGTATTCATAGGCCATATAAAATAATAAAACTCCTTTAACGTTGTAGTACTATTTAGCCCTATTTTTTTAACTTATAATAGCCTACTAGTACCATATTTTAATCTAATATTTGCGTTAGTATTCATCTGCATATGTCGCAGTATCTTAAGAGAAAATATGAACTTGTGTGAATTCTTGAAATGCAAATAACTAGTAAAAACTGAAAAAAAAACAAATAAACCAATATTCTATACAATATTGAGGAAGTTTTGCACAAAAAAATTTTTAATGACCTGTTTTAATTTTTTTTTACTTTTAGCTACATCCGCCCAGCAGAAAACCTCACTGTATCATTTTTCGCTATGGGCGAAGGATACCACAATTACCACCACACATTCCCTTGGGACTATCGGGCAGCAGAAGTAGGTCAGATGTTAAACGTTACCACCTTATGGTTAAACTTCTTCGAAAAAATCGGCTGGGCATATGAGCTCAGAGCTCCATCCAGTGATCTAATCCAGAGAATAACTAGGAACCGAGGAGATGGTTCCCACGAAAAGTGGGGTCACGAAGTTCCAGACACATACAGTTGTCCAGTTGCCACAGAGGTGCGAAAGGAGCAATAAATTAATATTTAATATTGTTGGGATAAATTGTTGTATGGTTGGTCCGGTAGTTTTAAAAATAAATGTTAAGATAACTATTTTAATAAATCAGTTATGTCCATTACACTACCTAAAGTTCTAACCTATAAGTACATTTATGTAAATCTTTTTAATTATTGTGTACAAAATATATTTTTTGTCATGTTAAATGGTCAACAAATTGACAGTCATTTTTTTGATAGTTTGGTCCTTTGATCCATTTTCCCTATACAAAAAATTTGCGTTATCAGCATTACAAATAATTGCCGTCCTAGAAAATCCCTTTGGGAGTAGCGATCCTCTCAAAGATGCTCATAATTTCGATAAAATTAGCTAGCTTTATAAAACATAAAATAATTTATTGTGAGTGCAACTGTAAGTGCAATAAATAAATAAATTAGTGTGGTGATAAACTGTAAAAATGGACGATGAACTGGACAAGGGTGGAACAGTGGATGATGGAGGAGTAAGCGTAGATATGGTTACGTCTAACACCACGACAACCAACAATCGAGATGGTAAAAACACATATGATAAAGATAAGGACACACCTTTAGATATCCAGCAAAAAAATAAGGTTTTCAATCTACAAAACCAAACCTGTATTCAGATTTTGTCTACGTATTTATTGAAAATACAAATAATGAAAATATAGGTAAATTACATCCTATGGCAGTCGGTCATATTTTACACAAAAAATTAAATATTCAAAATATTGTAAGAATTAATAGAGTAGGCAAAAACAGAATTAGGGTTCAATTAAAAACAATTAAAAATGCCAATAAACTAGTGGCTAATGATCAATTAAAAAACGAAAATTTAATTGCCTATATTCCAAATAATTTATTATCGAGGAAGGGGGTTGTCAAGAATGTTGATACTTCTTTTGACGAGCAATATCTTTTTACAAATTTTCTATCTGCGGTAACTATTACTGAGATTCGGAGAATCAAGCGAAAAATTATTTCTGATGGAGAAACAATATTTGTCCCTCGACAAACAGTCATAGTTACATTCGAGGGTAACATGTTACCCTCAAACATTTTCATTAACTCTGTATCTTGTCCAGTTGAACCCTATATTCACAGTGTTACACAATGTTACCGGTGTCTTAAATATGGTCACGTAGCAAAGCAGTGTCGTAACACAGTGGCTCTTTGCATAAACTGTGGTAAAACAAAAGATGAAACTCATTCATGTCAGGATCCACAGGATAATTGTTGTATTTATTGTAAAACAAATTCACATAAATCTATCTCTAAATCTTGTCCAACATATTTAAAACAAAGTGAAATAAAGAAGAAAATGGCTGAGGAGAATTTGACTTTTACGGAAGCAAGAAATTTAAATAAAATATCATATGCTTCAACGTTAAAAGTTAACAATAAATTTCAAGCTTTATCTCATTTGTCAAAGGAAGAATTTCCCCCTTTGCCCACACGAAGGTCTATCATCAAAAATCCTAGACAATCTTTTTCATCTCACTCAACTAATTCTACTACCGTACAAACAGGGCGAAATCACAACGCTTCAACTCAAATCGGGTCAGTTAACAAAAAGCGAAAAGTCACATCTCCCATTCAAATATCAAATTAAATTTTAAATCTGATATGTCAGATGAATTTATTAAAGGATTTTTCACGGTCTTTCAGAAAGTACCAAGTGAAGTAAAATCTTTTAAAGAACTTTCAACCATTGATGTAAATTTTATTAAAAATATTGCGTTTAATTGTAATGAAAGTATACCTGATGATGACGACACATTCTAATCTCAACCAATTAAAAATTTGTCAGTGGAATGCACGTTCCGCTGTATCCAATAAACATAGTTTAGTTAAAATATTATCAGATTATGATGTTGATATTGCTTTAATATCAGAAACATGGTTTAAACCAAATCTATACATTTTATGGATATTCTATTGTGCAAAAAGATAGGATAGATGGTATGACGGGTGTCGCTATTCTTATAAAAAATAATATCAACTTCAAAGAAGTCATCATCATCATCATATAACGGGGGTCCTACGGCGATTGCCGCTTCCCGCATTTCAGCCTCCATCTTTTCCTATTCCATTGTTTTTGTAATTTCTCTTCTCCAGGAATTTGGAGGTCTTCCCCTTTTCCTTCTTTCTGGCGGAACATACATTAAGGCTTTCTTTGGCCACCGCTCCTCCTCCATTCTCATCACGTGACCATACCATTGTAATTGCCTTCCTTCAAAGAAGTATTTCTTAATAATGTAGTAGATGGTATGCAGGTCTGTGCAGCAGAAATATTCGTTTCTAAAAACTTATCCATTACTTGTGTTTCTGTGTATTGTCCTCCAAATGTTTCAATTACTGTACACAATTTTTCCAATCTTTTTAATAACATAAATGGTACATCAATAATTGGAGGAGATTTTAATACCATGACCTATGGGGCTCATATAAAGTCAATCAATCTGGGAAAAATATGGTAAATGAATTAAATCAAAATAACCTGGTAATTTTAAATGATGGGTCACCCACAAAAATATCTCGGTCGGGTCAAAATTATTCTGTCGATTTAACACTAGTATCTCCAGATATCGCGGATAAAACTAACTGGACGGTGGTAACATATACTCTTGGATCGGATTATTTTCTCATTCTTATGAAACTTAATATATTGAGGGAACAGTTTAGTAACACAATACAGCCAAAAACCAAATGGAACACTAGAAAAGCTAACTGGATGGAATACGAACGAATGTGCATTTTATATTTTAGTAATAAACCGCAACTACGAAATGTAAATGATAAATATAAATATTTCATGGAAAGCAAGTACATGTTCAATTCCAATCAATAAACCTTTTAAAAGAGCCAAGCTGTCACCCCCTCCTTGGTGGGACGACGAATGTGACAAAGTCGTTCGGTATAGAAAAGAAGCTTAAAATAATTATATTTACAATAGTATTATAGAAAATTATATACACGTTAAAGAAAAAATGGCAACATTAAAAATTTTTTTATAAACAAGGCTAAGAGTTACTGGGTTAACTACTGCGCTAAACTTAATAAAAATACTCCGTCTAAGGAAATATGGCAACAGGCAAAAAAATGCAAAGAATTCCCGCACCTAAGCCTAAATGTAGTAACTATGACTGGATTGAAACTTTTTTGCAAAATATCACACCAAGTTCAGCAGATCAGGAAGTAAAGGATTTAATAGATAATACAGATGTACAAAATGATATATTTAATTATCCTTTGAAATTTACGGAACTACAATTTGCATTAAAAAGTACCAGTAACACAGCTCCAGGTATGGATCAAGTTACATACGATATGTTATGGAATTTACCAACTGTCGGTAAATTATTTCTGTTAGAAATTTTTAACGATATTTGGTTAAATAACTGTGTCATTGAGGAGTGGAAAAATGTTTTAGTTGTACCAATCCCCAAACCACACAAAAATCCCAACCTTGCAGAATCTTATCGGCCTATTTCCTTGTTGTCCTGTGTAATGAAAACTTTTGAAAGGATTATTAAACACCGGTTAGAATTTCATTTGACTAGCACTGCCTTTTTTCCGTTGGAACAATTTGGTTTTAAAAAAGGGTTTAGTACTATTGACGCAGTTTCTTATTTAACAACAGACATTCAGTTATGTTTTTCAAATAACTATTACCTAGGTGCTGCATTTCTCGATATAAAAGGTGCCTACGATGCAGTTAATATCATTATGTTAAGAGAAAAATTGTTTCAAGCAGATATCCCTGCGAGAGTGTGTAATGTCTTGTGCAATCTTTTAACACAAAGAAAAATTTATATAAGGTCACAATAACAATTTTGTAATATGTCCCAGACGATCATCCACAGGTTTACCACAGGGTTCCGTTATCTCTCCCCTTTTGTTTAATGTTTTTACAAAAGAAATACACGAGGAAAAAAATAATTATAATATTATACAGTATGCTGATGATTTTGTCGTTTATAACACTAATAAAAAATTAGAAGTAGGATAACTGACTCACGTCCATATAAACTAACTACTTGAAATTTGAATCGTTAGGTTTTCTTAACCCCTCAAAATCTAGTGTTACCATCTTACAAGACATAATCTACCTAATATTGATAACATAAATATAAATGGTACCTTATATCCAGTATCAAATAAGGTAACTTATCTTGGAATTATTCTTGACAAGAAGCTTAGCTGGAAACCATTTATACAAAGTATAGAATCAAAATGTTTAAAAGGCATAATTTTTTTAAAATTCATAAGGAGAACATGGTGGGGAGCAGATCCACAATCGTGTTTAACTTTTTACAAAGCCTTTATTAGGTCGATCTTGGATTACGGATGTACGTTATATGGATCAGCTAGTCCTTACATTCTAAAACGACTGGAAATGTTTCAAAATATTTCCCTAAGACTCTGTTTGGGTGCAATGTGTTCAACGCCTGTGGAACCACTTCGGATTGAAGCTCTAGAACCACCATTATTTTTACGAAGGGAATGGCTAGCAGAAAAATTTATTATTAAGTCTTTTTGTAAAAACCGTACTCTGTTAGATAATATAGCCTTATTAAATAACCACGATTTAACTAACACGTACTGGTCAAAAAAACCTTCTCCTCCATTATGTATGGCTTTTAGAAATACAAGTAGTTATAATAGTGATTTAAAAAGAACTATTTCAGTCGAAAAATCTGAATTATTTGACATGTTGGAACCACTAGATATTAATATTTCTGTATACAATGAAAATTTGTTGATAAGTAAAAATATAATAAGCGCCTGCAAATCAAATCTATCAGATTTTCTGGAAATATATACCGATGCATCAAAACAAAATAATGGTACGGGATGTGCATTCTATATACCATCAACAAACATTCAAGAAAAGTTCAAACTGAATAATAATACTTCCATTTTTTCTGCTGAAGCGATTGGTATTATTAAAGCCTTCAATTATGTCGAAAAAAACAAGTTAAAAAAATAAATTTTTTGTGTGACTCATTATCTGTTCTTAAATGCATCGCTAACCAAATTAATGTGATGGCTACTGATACAAATCCTTTTATTAGAGAATTAAAAGTAAAAATTCATAAATTTCAAAAAAAGTCAATACGAATTAAAATTCACTTGGGTAAAAGCTCATACAGGACTTCGTGGCAATGCAGTTGCAGACATC